ATGTACATGACAAAGATACTATCCATGTGACAAGTGGGCCCAGTTTTACTTGGCATGAATAGATACCTTCTTTCATTAATTGTTAATTTCTCTCCTTTACTGCAAATTGTCATTTCTTGACATGTATCTGCATTTAATCCTTGCTCACAGTGTATATAGAGAAATGATAAAGAAAACAAGACATGTTCAATTTTTGCAATGTACTCTTATATCACTTGTTTTCCTTCTTTAAATGCTTCAACTACTAAAGCCGGAACAGGCCTGATTATGTGTTCATATAAATGTGTTCAGAAATATGACATTCCAGATTGCTTGTCTTAAAGACAATTAACATCTTGCTGAAGAGCAAACTTAAAACATGTAGATTTCAGCCACTTCACAAGCAAACTCCCAGAATGACTTACTGCCATTAACAGATACATTTGATTCTATATGTAATTAATAACTATTTTCTCTTTGCTTAGTGATTAGTTATCAAGGCATAAAGGAAAAAAATGTTCATAAAGGAACAAGAAGTCTAAGGAAATTTTTTTAGGAAAAGTATCTTGTGAAGAATAATTTTTTAAATGTGTAGATAAATTGAAACAAACATTAATTCAACAGATCCAGTATTATATATTTATATTTTTCTTGAGATTTTATTATAGAGAGATTATTATAGTCCTTTGTGCTGATAGCATGTAGATATTAAAAGGAAGAAAGTGTGGGGAATACGTAGACATACCATTATGAAGTAAGTGTGCAGTTATATACTGAAGATATGATGACAATATCCCCATGTTATGTCTTTGATGATTACAATCACTTCCATACATTTCCCATTTCTATAGACAGCTTCAAAAATGTGTGAAAAGATTTATTACGACTCCTTTGCATAGAGGAAAAAAGTAGAAACAGAAGAGTATGTATTTTGGAATAAGTAAGAACATCATTAGAAAAATAGCAGCATAAGAGAACAAAAGTGGTTTTCAATGAAACACCAGTGAAATAATTTGACTAATGATAATGGCATATGAAAGGAAATCTAAGCCAAGGTGGTGGTGCGATGTGTCAATTTCTTTTTCTTGTTACCTTGGATATTTTTTTTTTATTTGTTTAATGAAGCTGTTACTTTCCCATTTCCTTGTATGTAATAAACTTCTGTTAATGATTTGTGTCCTCTTATTTTAATCATATATATAACCAGGTGGTACTTTGGTTTGAAACATTTTGTATATGGATGGGGGAGAACTTATTGTATGAAGTTGTACTGGAAATAATCCCAGTGTGTAGCCAGAGCAAAGAAGCAGAATATTTTTGGTGTATGGGATTGAATATTGAAATTTTTATTTCAGATGTTAATATTATCAATGCCTTGATTTATTCCTCATAAAAAAAATCACTGTATCTCAATCTGGCTCTAATCTTGTAATTTGCTAATAGAAAACGGGTTATTTATAAAACATCTTTTGGAGTGATCATTTTCTTGAGCAGCTTCGTAATTTAGGTTCAGTTTTAATTCACTTTTGACTCATATTGTTGTAAGAATTTTTTATCATACGTGGTCGTTTTGTGCGAGTGTTTTCAAGGGAAATGCAGATTCGTAAATGAAGTAAAATAGAGCATAGATTTATAAAAGTGAAATTGAGTTAGAATACAAGTCTGTACATTTGAAATGCTGATATGTAAATGAAGTAAAATAGGGTATAAATTTATAAGTGAAATTGAGTTAGAATACGTCTGTAAATGTGAAATTAAATTAGAGATTTAATACAATATATATGTGTCATATATGATTTGTTTGATGAAATGAGGAATGTGTATACATAATTGTAGGAAGGTATTTTGAAGTGGTGGGGCAAAGTATGTTCCAACCAAAAATACTCAAGGGTCCTGGGAGCTGCAGGCCTGGTAGGGGACCAGGAGGCAAAGCCCCCAGAAACTCATGGATTTTGATTTTTTTTTTAAGAGATAAAGTCAATAATTTCTCCACTAAAATGACAGACATTTTTATTAAGATAATACATAATGGTTATTTCAGTTTGAGCACCAGACTCAGTAGCTACCCTCTCAGCTGCAGAGGGTGAGTGTTCTCAACAACTGGATAAGGAAGTACACTGTTTGTTTACAGGAAATGTCCTGGAAAGTTAAGGAGTTGGGGTCGGAAATTGGGTCTTCCCCTCCTCCAATTTAAATTGGGGATGGTTGCCCCCTGCCCCCCTAATTCCTACACCTATGGTACAATAGGTTGCATTGATCATTGTTGATAGGGTTAAGTTTCGTACGTTGTTGAAGGAAATCAAATTGCTGTTTTCAATCATTTAACAAATTGCGTCTGAATATGAAAGAAAAATAGTAATAAAAAGCTACATGGGTTTTTGACCATCTTTTTATATCACTGATCTTCTTGGATTTTATTTTCTTTTTGTTGTGATTAAGAAAAAAATCAAAATAATGAAAAACTATCATGTAAACCTGATGAAAATGCATATTATTTTGAAAACAAAAAATAAGGTCACTG